ATAAACCTAATAAGCATAAATTATGTAGAAAAAAAAGGGCTTACTTAGAAATATTCAAATAAAGATAATAAAGTCATTGGATATGTTACTAGTGCTGAGGTTGATATCAATGATGTTAAAGTAGATCAAAAGTTCTATGTGAAGCATTGATTGGGTTGTGATATCATTCTTGGAATATTGTGGGGCATGAAAACAAGGTGTAGTTTTGAATATAAGGATGAAAAATGTTACTGTATGATCTGAACTGGCTTTGAGAAAGCAACGTTCGAGATCTCTGATGAAAACTTAGATGAATACACAATGAATAAAGGTAATATAATGAAGAGTGATAATCAAAGAGAAAATGAATTTGTTGATATTAGGTGTATTGAATTCAAAGTGGTAGAGAATGATAATACTGATAAAGAGGATGAGAAATATAGTAATGGAAAGACAATGATATTATAAATATGAAGCATGTAGTGTTGGAGGATAATGAGACTGAGTTTGATGATAATAGGAGTGAAGCTGCAGATGGTAGAGTGAATGAATCTGAAAAAGATTACTGCAAAAATAAAATTGAAAATGAAAAGGGTGAACAAAAGGCATTTATTTGTTCATTGTCAAAGCTTTGGAAAAATGAATTGTGGTAATGGAGCACATAAACACGAGTATAAAAACAGAAATGAGAGATGTATAGAATTGAAAGAAGTATATATGAGTCAGTCAAGTAGCATGTGAGCATTAAATGGTATGTTGATGGCTAGAAATTGTATGAATGTTCAAATAAAGTTAAATAAATTAAGTTATCAAAGAACTAATAATAGATATTTAATGTTTGGAAGTTCAATATTACAAAGTGCATATATTTCGAAATAATATAAAAGTATAAAAGCTGGAATGTGGAGCACTCCAAATATTTATGGTAACAAAGATTATAAGAAAGATATTGGTTGGAGTAAATGGGACGTTGCATATTGTGACAAAGTGAAGAGTCAAAAATGAATAGGTTAACAAAGTCTAAGACATGATGTGAAAGGAATCAATTTCTAATAGTAATTGTATTTGGATAAAATTGTTAGGTGTGGTTCTGAGAAATTGATTAGTTCAGCATTTGGTAATCATTTCGAAATGAGAAAACTTAGTAGAATAGATGTAAATTCAAGGAT